CGGAGAGGTCCTCACGCATCTCCGGGACTGTGAGCACTTGGTCAGTTCACCTGTGTTGTCATCGCGCAGGGTTTGGTGTCCCTAGGATGCCACACGGGGGTGTCTAGGTTGCGTAGCTGCCTGGGCAGTCACATGGACCGTCAGTTTTGATCAATGCGTTGCACATATTCCTTCCCTGTGCCAGTCTTGATGACGCGCCAGAACTCCAGGTTCTCGAAGGGTTCAGTCACGCCCGCTTTGTAGAGATGCGTCGCCGCCGCGCACAGCGCCCCGTCGAGGGCCTTGAACGTCTTCTCGAACCTGGGGTAGGTCGCGCCGGACGGCCCCCCGGCGCGCCCTACCCGTCGGCCTCCCTCGTCCGTCGCGTATCTGGCGAGCTGAGGGCCTCGCGGCAGGTCGCGCTCCATGTCTTCCACCGCGCTGCTGAGGCGTTCGAGCAGCGGCAGCGACGGCGGCGCCGCTGGCAGCTGGGCGACCCGCCGGGCGTACCTCCCCTCGCCGAGGAACTCGTCTCGGAAAGCGGTCGTGGCATACGCGTAGTCGAACTCCGCCTCAACGCGGTGGACAAGGAGGCGCAGCACCCGGCTCGCGTGGACCGCCACGTAGCGTTCGGGGATGCGGAGGATGCCCTCGGGGTAGTAGGCAAACGCGCCGCCGCTCGGCCGCCAGTGCCGCTCGATGTGCGCGTCGAGCGCGCGAGCCACCAAATGCGCGCGCCCGACGTGGGCTACCCTCGCGCGCGCCCATGCCTCGTCGTGCCCCTGCAGCGCCACCGTCTTCTTGGCGATGCGCTCATGCTGCGCGCGCCACGCCTCCTCCTCGCGCGCCCGTTTGCGCTGCCGCTCGGCTTCCTCCTCGGCCGCGAGTTCCTGCCATCTCGTCGCGTTGCACTCGACCTCGCCCTTCCTTCTCGGAATGCGGTAGAGGAGGGGCTCGCCACTCGCCCCGACGCGAGCGGTACCGCCGGCCGCGCCGCCATTCGCGCCGCCCGCAAAGGAAGCAGCGCAGCCGCCAGCAGCGCCGCACGCGACGCCCGCAAAGGAAGCAGCGCAGCCGCCAGCAGCGCCACACGCGACATAGCCCCCAGCGTAGCTCGCGGCAGCGCAGCAGGAATGAAGGGTGGAGTCGTCCCGGATGCTCTTAGAGAGGCTGATACCGGTACGACAAGGACAGCGACAGAATGGCGTTGCGTCACAGGAGGAGCAGTGGCGGCAGCAGAGGGCAGAGACGGCAGAGGCAGGGGCGGCGGCTGCGGAGGTGGAGGGGGCGGAGGAGGTCGAGGCAAAGGCGGAGGCACAGGTGGGCTGCTGCTCAGGCTGCTGCTCGGGCTGCTGCTCGGGCTGCTGCTCGGGCTGCTGCTCGGGCTGCTGCTCGGGCTGCTGCGAGGGCTGCTGCTCGGGCTGCTGCGAGGGCTGCTGCGAGGGCTGCTGCGAGGGCTGCTGCGAGGGCTGCTGCGAGGGCTGCTGCGAGGGCTGCTGCGAGGGCTGCTGCGAGGGCTGCTGCGAGGGCTGCTGCGAGGGCTGCTGCTCGGGCTGCTGCTCGGGCTGCTGCTCGGGCTGCTGCTCGGGCTGCTGCGAGGCGAGCCTTGTGCCTGGAGGTCGGGCCGTGGCAACAGCAGGAGGCTCGAGGACCAGGCTGTCGCGTCGCAGCGGCCGGCCGGGAGAGCTCTGTTGGGGTTGGCGCTGGTCTAGGGCACCAGAGCGTCGTCCATCAGAGCGTGGCCCACCGGCCGGCAGCGCGTGTACCGAGCTGAAGTCCGTGCGACTGGTGCCTTCGGCAGCGGCCGCGGGCGGCTGCAGCCGCTGAGGATCTCCAGGTCGGCTCCCACGGTGGCAGCCGCCAAGGGCAGCCACCATCGTGGGGACGCGCGAAACTTGTACACTGGTAGAAAGCACACTTTTAAGCCGCATGCACTGTGGTCCCAGGTCCTCTCACGCCGCAGAGGTCCTCACGCCAGAGCGCAGAGGTCCTCACGCCGCAGAGGTCCTCACACAGGACTCATGAGTTCACCTGTGTTGTCAACGCAGGGCGGTGGCCTTCATGGCGTCCCTAGGATGCCACGCCGGGGGTGTCCAGGGGGAGTGTCCAGGTGTGGCGCACCTTGTGTGCACACCATGGCCATGGGCACCACACCGGTCGCCAAATGGTTGAATTAGCACGCTTCTCATGCTGTTTGAATCCACCAAATTGCACTCATAACTGTCATACCAGGTGGCACGAAGTGCGCCACACTCCAGGTCTGCAGCGTAGAGAGCAATGTTGTTGGCGGCGACTCGCATCGAGTCGCGTCGGAGAGCCGCGCCGCACCAGCAGCAGCATCTGCACCACCAGCAGCAGCAGCAGCACCACCACCACCACCCGAGAGAGAAGCGCACCTGCCCGACGCCGCCCGCCGCGTCAGACGCTCGCGACGCGCGCGTCGAGCCCAGTCGCACAGCCGCGCCGCGCCAGCAGCAGCATCGGCACCAGCAGCAGCAGCACCACCACCACCAACAGCAACAGAGACAGGCAGTGCAGGCGCAGAGGCGCTCGCAGAGCGGCGCTCAGCGCCGCGCACGCCACGCTGCGGACCGTCGGACGAGCGCACCGTACGTCGGCGGCGAGCCGCGTCGCCAGCCGTCTCGCGAGAGAGCGGCGCCGCCGCGTGCGCGCAGCAGCCGCCGCGGCAGAGGCGAGCCGCGGCGACGTCCGCACTAACGGATAACGGCCATTGGCGGTTTTCTCTCTCTCTCTCTCTCTCTCTCTCTCTCTTGCGATTTGGATTTTGGGTTTTCCATTGCACTTTGTTTATTTATTGAAGAGATGCGGGCTTCCTCCGAGGCAGCGCGATGCAGAGTCTAGTCGAGAGTCTAGTTCGCGGATACGTGATGCCACGTGCTGGTCTCGCTCCAGCGGCACCGCCATGCGTGCCGCGTATCCTACTCGTCGATGCACCGATAGCCAAACCTGTGGAGGCGCTCCCAAACCAGATCGTAGCTCTTCTGCTGCAGATGGGTCCCTTCGAAGATCACTCGCGCCGGCCACACTGCGTCTTCAAATGGAAACTGCGTGAGCACATCGGCGTCGAGCTTCTCGGAGTCGACGACGAGCAACTTCACCGCCCCGCTCGCCTGGCGCACCAGCTGCGGCAGGCACGCGTGACCTTGATGCGGCGGAGGTTTCTCGTAAGGACGTTGCGCATGCAGTCAGTCGGTCGCGGCGCCTCTGGCGCCGCCGCTGTGCCACCGTGCATTTTGGTGCATCGCTCGCACTGCTCCGCTTGGGCTTGGCCAGGGCGCTGCACGAACACTTTTGTCATGATGTGGGCCCGGTACAGGCCCGAGACCTCTGTGAGCCAGTTGCACGTCCTGCATGTGCCAAACATGCCCTCTGCGCAGCGCGCGTCAGCGTCGGCACTGCCCCAATTTCCGGTGGCGTTGGTCACGTCCACGTGCCAGAAGTCGACGGTGCTAGGCTCGCAGTTAATGGTCAGATTCAATCGTATCCTACTCGCTTTGCATACGGCGAGCTGCTGCAGGTCGACACGCGGGTTTGAGGCGTACTTTTGTTGCAGCGCGGCAAACGCGGACGGCAGCGGCTCGAACAGCAATGCCCGCCATCCCAGCTCGATGGCGGCCCTTGCTGGGTCGTGCGATGAACTCTTGGAGTGGTCGTTGGCTCCGACCTGCACGATGAGAGGGACCGGGTCATTGTCGCTCTCACGCGAACGGAATCCATGCAGCCGCTGCAGCGTCGGGACACGCTGCGATTTGCTCAGGTTGACACTACTGAGGCGTTCGAGAAGCTCCGCTCGGTTTGTTCCAGCAGGTCCGAGGAGGAAAACTGTGAGCATCGACCGCGGACTTACCGGTAATCCATTCGTTATACCAAAAAGAGGGCTACACACGGCCCTCTACGCTGGGGCGCCGGCTCCAGTCCGAGCCTGGCTGTTCTTCACCTTTCTACCTACCTACCTACCGGCGCCCTACTGGGCGCCCCCCGCTCCCTTCCCCTTAGAGCCCCCCATCCCACTAGCATTCCCCCGCGGTCCCTCGCGGTCGCGCGACGCCGCACCAATGGCGCGCTGTGCCTCGTCCGCGAGCGCCGTCCAGAGCTGCACCGACAGTCGCTGCAGCGCAAACGGCATCCATTCGCGCGCCGACCACGACGTCTGGTCGTACTGCCACCATTCGTTTGGCCTTCGATGTTATGAAACAACGCAAGGCGGACATGGCATATCGCTCTCGGGCCCACAGACATCCCGCACACTCGCCGCACACCCGCCGCCCCCGCGCGCGCCCCACCCCGGCCGGGAGAAAGGGGAGTGACAGTTTGGGACGGCGACAGCCCGCGTTTGTTGAGTCCTGGCTCAACAACGCAGAGAACAAGAGGGGGTGGTCCGGCTCACAAGTCCGGCGCACGCGCCTCGAGCTGACCCTCTACCGCACTGGTCACTTCCGCCCCCTCGCTCCCAACCCATCCACCTCGCCCCGGCCGGGCCGCGCCGCGCGATCTCGGGCGATCTCGCGCTATCTCGGGCGATCTCGGGGCCGCGCCGCGCTATCTCGGGCGATCTCGGAGCGTCGCTCGCGCGGCGTCACACCTGCTCAAAAAAGGAAGGGCCTGGTTGGAGCCACGGGGCTCACGAGGACGTGCTCGCTCGGTTCTCGCCGCCTCGCCCTGCGCCACTTGGGCCGGTGAGGCGGCGCCCCGCGCGGCGCGTCCCTCGCCCCTTTTTTGTACATTTAAATTTTTACTGCGCGGCCACGTTACACTTGATGAATATTAAATGAACTCCCGGTGATGCAAATGCCGTTGATCGGTCGGTGTCACGTTCTTGTGCGCACTTTTAGACACTGATGGCACCTGACGTTGCCAGACTACCAGGGTACGCGGGACATGAAGCGCGCCCGCTCTTCGCTCGTCGAACACGCAGAATGTAAGACGACGACGGTCGGTGGTGGTCGGACAGCCCAGATGAGGCCGAAGCGATCTCTCCGTGCCTGGCCTCCCGCGATCCATCCATGTCAAAGAGGACTTGCGGTTCGGCACCGGAGGGCGGGTCTGGAACACTGCACGCGCCTTGGTTGGCCATCTGGCTGAGCATCCAGCCTTGATTTCGGAGAAGCGGCGCATCATCGAATTGGGAAGCGGCACTGGTCTTATCGGCATCGCTTGCGGCATGCTGCTCTCAGCCCACACAGGTGTGGATGGGCCGCGTGTTACTGTGACCGACATGGAGTCGGTGATGCCGTTCCTGCGGGAGAACATCGAATCCAACGGCGTAGTCGGCGCTGTTGAGGCAGCCCCGCTCTTGTGGGGAACGGACGTGAGTGACTTCGGAGCGCCCGTCGACGCAGTGCTCATGGCAGATGTCGCCTACACAGACGCGTACGCGGAACTGGCGGCCACGCTGGCAAGTCTGTGCGGCCCTGAGACACTCGTGCTGCACTGCTACACGACGCGAAAATAAGATGTGGGGCAGTTGTTCTTTGACGAGATCAAGCGACTTGGTTTCACCACCGAAGCGTTAGACTTGGTTCGTCATCGGATGGCCAGACGGCTGGGCAAATGGTATTACGCTGTCGACCAGCACCGCGCACCGCGCACCGCGCACCGCGCACCTTACTCACTACCTTACTCACTAGTGAGTAAGGTGAGTAGGCGAGTCACACGTATTGGCAACGTCCACAGTGTTTCAAACCCTCCTCAAGTTTGCCCGGGTCCGCGTGCTGAGCGGCAGCTGGCCTCAGGCCCCGGCCCTAGCCGAGGCGCGACAATAAACGACGAAAACGTACATGTACTGCGTGTCGCGTGTCGATGGGGCGCGGGCGCGGGGTGGCGCGACCGGGGCCCACACACTGAGTGCCAGACCCACACGCGGACTCTAGTCTACACGCATCGGCATGCCCTCTCTACAAAACCACCGCTGTGCGGGCATGCACGACTTGTGGTACGTGCCCCCACATATGTGATCAGCGGAAAGTAATGCCGCTCGAGAGTAGCTCGCTACAACGGCGCGCACGCATTCCAGGAGACCTCGCCCTCTGGCGTCATTCTGCCGCTTGTTGCTCCAGGAGCCAGCGGTTGCCGTCTTTCCATCTGATGCCTTCCCAAGCCTCGCCATCAGCAGCCCTCGGGTGCCACCTGCCCACATGCACGCCGTCGCCGGCATCCACCTGCGGCAGCCGGCACGCAGCGTTGACGCTATGATATATATCTCGGGTGCTGCCTTCGCTCTTTGCTCGTTTGCGCGCCTGCTCGCCGTCACCCGAGATGCGCGCCTCGAAGCTCCAATCTCGCAGCCCGTACCGGGAGACGCTCTCCGCGTCGCAGGAGGCCCTGACGACATTGCCGACACCTATATTGAGAACATATCTCGGGCAGCGAGCCACGGAGAGGACAGCGAGAGGCAGCGCACCCGGTGGGCCGATGTCGTTGCCGGAGAAGGTGGCGAGGAAATAGTCGCCACCGCCGCTCTGCTTGAGGGCGCTGGTGTCCACGGCGATTTTTCGATCACAGAGAGGGTGAAGGAGGTCGGAGTACTCGCCCTCAAAACGCGTCGCCCTGAATCGGCCAGGCCCCAGTGCTGGCCGCAGTCCGGCGGCGAACGCGTCTCTGTTGGGCACAGCTAGCAAGGCGAGGGCGTTGGCTGCCAAGCAGCGCCTGCACATGGCGTCGGCCTTCATTCTACGACGACACGAGGAGAGGAGAGAGGGTTGGGCGCGCTCTTTTTGATATACCAAAAGGAGGGCTACACGAGGCCCTCTACGCTGGGGCGCCGGCGCCCTACTGGGCGCCCCCCGCTCCCTTCCCCTCGACCGGCAACTGCCAGCTCGCAGGTGAGATGCCAGCTCGCAGGTGAGAATGCCTGCGCGCGGCCGGGTGTTTTGCTCGAGGTGCTTGTACGCAGAGGTATATGATAGCCTGAGATCGCAGCATGGGTACATGCATACAATCTTTTGAGTTGCTCATAATATTAATCATGTATGTAGGGCATAACTGACTCCTCATCACCTCCCTGCTAACATACATAGGTAGAAAGGTGAAGAACAGCCAGGCTCGGACTGGACACCAACGCGGTATGGGTGGACGCGGGACAGATGATGACGACACGCACGAGCGACACACAGACACAAACAAGCTCACTAATCATAATCCCGAAAAAAGAAATAATGACGCGCCGAGCGTGTCGAGACAATCCTTGCCTTTTCGGCTTCTCAAACGCCTCCTCACACACATGGAGACGACCACCCTCTTGCAGCGCTACGAGGCGGCAAAGGAGGCAGAGGATCAGGCACTCTTGCAGCGCCCCAAGCACACAGGCGTGGTATCCCGCACAGGCCGCACGCTCCGCCGCAACTTTGCGCGCATCGTGGGCACGCCTTCCACCAAGGCAGCCACGCCCGAGGGACCAGCGAAGCCACCGTGGCCCCTGGAGATCTCGCGGGATGTCGTGGAGGGCTGGCTGCAGGAGGCTGAGGCTGATGCCCCAACGCGAGCTGAATGTGGGCCCGAAAGCTGGTGCCGCTACGTTGAGATGACAGGCTTCGACGAAAGTGATCGGTCAAGATTCGACAAGACCCTTCTGTCGCTCCTTCTCTGCTGCATACCCTGCTGCTGCAGCCTCGTATCAGACGCCGCGGCAGAACACTACGTCAAGTGCTGTGTGCAGCCATGGGGGCCACTCGGGTTTCTCTGCTGCTGCGGCTGCTGTTGGTGGAAGGAAACCTTCCCTAGCTGGCTGGCAAACGATGGCCTCGAGGTTTCCAAGCGGCGCCACCTCGAGAAATACCTCGCCATGATGGAGACGGGTGCCCCGGCGCGCGTGGCCGAACTCGAGCGCAGCCTCGCAAGCGCGCAAGCCGAGCTGCAGCACGCGGTGGACATCGGCTTGGCGGCCCCGAGCGGCGACTCTGAGTCGACGCGCAAGCGTCAGCTCGAGATGCAGTGCGACCTGCACGCAGCAAAGGGAGCCGAAGACTATGACAAGTGCAAAACGTTGCAGGCGCAGGTCACGTTGCTCACTTACCGCGTGGACTTGGTGGCCAAGGTGGAGCGGCTGGCATCCGAGCTAGCAACGTCTAAGGACGTGTCGAGCACAATCAAGCTGAAGAAGGCCAGAGAGGCGCGTGCAGCGGCGGCCGCGGGGGGTGACGCCCTCCACCAAGCGATGTTCAAGGTGGCCGACGAGCTTGGCGGCGCGTTCTCGGCCTTGCGCGATGGGGCCGACGCTCGCTTCGAGGCCAAGGATCTTGTCTTGGGCAAGCCGAAGCAAGCGGCGCTTGGGGTCGAGCACTACATGTGCGTCAACGGCGCTGACCTAGCTGCCAAGCGGAGCCAGGGTCTAGCCGCCATCCGCGCGGAAGTGGCCGCCAACGGCACCGTCGTTGACAAGGAGTGCCTCGAGTACGTGCTCGACAAGGTGGCGGGCGAGAGCGGCGAGTCCTTTCAGGGCGGACTCATGCGCGACTGCGACGCGAATGGGAACGTCCTGCCCAGCCGGCGGGGCAAGCGGCTCGCCGACTTTCTCGCCGATCCGAGCGCTCAGACCGCAAAGCTGGAGGAGGCGCACGTGGCGGCGCTGCGCTTTTACACCACCGCCGCCTTCCAAACCATCAACAACGGCCTCCGTGACCAAGGCCGCTACGAGGCGAAGCGACCGCACCCTTTCCCCGTCACGGTGAAACTCATCCAGGAGGCTCTCCTTAAGCTGCGCGCCAACGACGCGTCTATCGTTGAGGTTGACGACGAGTCAGAGCAGGCCAACACGGAGATGACGTTCTACCGCGGCATGAAGGACATGAAGGTGCTGGACAGCTTCCTGCAGGACGGCAAGGCCAAGGGCGGCACGGAGCTTGCGCCGATGTCGACTACGTCATCGCTCAAAGTTGCGATGCAGTTTCGGCGTCGGAGAACTCGCTGCTGCTGCGCGTCAGGACTAAAAACTTCATGGTTCGCGGCCCCGACATCTCCTTCCTCTCCGCGTTCCCCGCTGAGGAGGAGTTTCTCTTCCCGCCGCTGACTTACCTCGAGCCCACCGGCAACGTGCAGAAGCTGCGCGTCGACGATGCTATGTTCACCGTCGTTGACGTGCGGCCGCAACAGTGAGGGGGGGGGGAGCATACAGACCACGTTCGCTTTCCTGTGGGACCCGGTGTTAGTTACCTTCTGCGGAGCTCTGGTCGGCAGCGAGACACCGGCCGAGAGGGAGGGGTAGAGGATTGGTTGGTGAACAGTCTGTCGGTGTCTAGGTCTAGAGAGCAAGAGGGATAGAGGGAGGAAGGGAGGGGGGGGCGTTTCGTTCTAAATTGATGAGAGGACTAGCACTCACCGCCCGCACACTGCCGCCCATCCCTCCAAACGGGCTTCTTGGGTGAAATCATATGCCACCGGCCGGCCTACCTCCGGTTACTCAAAACGGTCTGGTTCATCACACTCACCCGGGTTCCGCGGGGCGCGCCTTGCGTGCCGGCATCGTGGCGCCATCGGGGATGCAGGGGCATGAGTGGCGCCATCAGCCCGACCGTGCTCGCTGACCGCCTGCGCCAGGGCGACCTGACCTCGCTGCGCGCCCTCCTCGCCGGGTGGACGCGCGGCCCGGCGCTCACGGCCTTGCTCGACGCGCGGATCGAGGCCGCGAACCAGCACACGCTGCTGACTTGCGCCGCTCACTGCGGGCAGGCCGACGCCGTGCGGCTGCTGATCGAGAGCGGCGCGAGTGTGGGGGCGACGACAGGCCGTGGCTGCTCCGCGCTGTTCATCGCGTGCTATGAGGGCCACCTCGAGTGCGCCCGGCTGCTTCTCGGCGCCAGAGCGGCGGTCGACCAAGCCAAGGATGACGGCACCACGCCACTGAGCGCTGCGAGCCTGGCTGGCCAGATTGATTGCGTCCGTCTGATGATCGCCGCGGGCGCTGCGGTGAACCAAGCAGACACTGACGGCTTCACGCCGCTGCTCGTCGCGTGCCAGGAGGGTCACCTCGAGTGCGCCCAGCTGCTCCTCAAGGCCAGCGCGGCGGTCAACCAAGCCGCGGGTATCGGCGCCACGCCGCTGTACGTCACGTGCCAGCAGGGCCACCTTGAGTGCACCCAGCTGCTCCTCGGCGCCGGCGCGGCGGTCAACCAAGCCAAGGACGACGGCGCCACGCCGCTGTTCGTCGCGTGCCAGAACGGCCAGCTCGAGTGCGCCCGGCTGCTCCTCGGCGCCCGCGCGGCGGTCGACCAAGCCAAGAATGACGGCACCGCGCCGCTGTACGTCGCGTGCCAGAAGGGCCAGCTCGAGTGCGTGCGGCTGCTCCTCGCTGCCAACGCTGCGGTCGACCAAGCCAAGGACAGTGGCGCCACGCCGCTGTACATCGCGTGCGAGAAGGGCCACGCCGACGTCGCCCAGCTGCTCCTCGGCGCCAGCGCGGCGGTCAACCAAGCCACAGGCCGCGGCTTCACGCCCCTGCACATCGCGTGCCAGGAGGGCCAGCTCGAGTGCGTGCGGCTGGTTCTCGAGGCCAGCGCGGCGGTCAACCAAGCCAACGGTGGCGGCGCCACGCCGCTGTTCATGGCGTGCCAGAACGGCCACCTCGAGTGCGTCCGGCTGCTTCTCGGCGCCCGCGCTGCGGTCGACCAAGCCAGGGACGACGGCGCCACGCCGCTGCTCGTCGCGTGCCAGGAGGGTCACCTCGAGTGCGCCCAGCTGCTCCTCAAGGCCAGCGCGGCGGTCAACCAAGCCAAGACGGATGGCGCCACGCCTCTGTTCATCGCGTGCCAGAAGGGCCAGCTCGAGTGCGCCCGGCTGCTTCTCGCTGCTGGCGCGGCGGTCGAACAAGCCAGGGAGAGTGGCGCCACGCCGCTGTTCATCGCGTGCCAGAAGGGCCACCTCGAGTGCGCCCACCTGCTCCTCAAGGCCAGCGCGGCGGTCAACCAAGCCAGGGGTGACGGCACCACGCCGCTGTACGTCGCGTGCCAGAATGGCCAGCTCGAGTGCGCCCAGCTGCTTCTCGAGGCGCGTGCGGCGGTCAACCAAGCTGCGGACGGCGGTTTCACGCCGCTGCTCATCGCGTGCCAGAAGGGCCACCTCGAGTGCGCCCACCTGCTCCTAAAGGCCAGCGCGGCGGTGAACCAAGCCAGGGGTGACGGCACCACGCCGCTGTACGTCGCGTGCCAGAATGGCCAGCCCGAGTGCGCCCAGCTGCTTCTCGAGGCGCGTGCGGCGGTCAACCAAGCCACAGGCCGCGGTTTCACGCCCCTGCACATCGCGTGCCACGAGGGTCTCTCCGCCGTCGTGCTCTGCCTGCTGCGGGCGGGCGCTGACACGGCGGCGCGCACCTCGGCCGGGCGTACGGCGCTGCAGCTGGCCAAGGAGAAGGGCCACACCGAGTGCGAGCGCGCCTTTGAGGCGGCGGCGAGGAAGGCGAAGAGAGCGGAGATTGAGGCGAAGGTGGAGAGGGCAGTGGCCGAGAGGGCGGCGGCCGAGAGGGTGGAGGCCGAGAGGGCGGCCGAGGAGACTGCGGCGGCGCTGCTGGCGGAGGAGGAGTCGGAGAAGTGCGCCAAGGAGAAGAAGAAGGGCAAGAAGAAGGGCAAGAAGAAGGGCCGCGGGGGCGGCGCTGGGCCGTCGCAAGAGGCCGAGGCGCCGGCGGAGGAGGCGGCGGAGGAGGTGCTGGCGGCGGAGGAGGAGGCGGAGCTTGCGGCGGCGCTCGAGGAGAGCGCGAGGCTGGAGGAGGAGAGGCGGGCGGCGGAGGCGCAAGGGCCGTCCTCGGCCGCAGAGGCGCCGGCTCCGAGGGAGGAGCCGCCGGCCGACTTCATCTGCCCGATCACGACCGAGCTCATGAGTGACCCGGTGATGGCGGCGGACGGGCATTCCTACGAGCGGTCGGCGATCGAGCGCTGGCTCGCGACCAAGTCGACGAGCCCGATGACGGGCGAAGCGCTCGTGCACACCTTCCTCGCCCCCAACCACACGCTGCGCCGGCAGATCCGGGAGTGGGAAGAGGCGCGGGCTTGATCATCGGCGCGCTCTAGTGTCTGTGGGGGGTCGTGGAGGACTGAGAGGGAACTTGGGAGAGTGGCACAGTGCTGAGTGGCACGCTTTCTCGTGCACAGAGAGAGCCTCACATATTGCTAATTATTTTTTTTAGAGTACACGACAGAACAATCGTGGCCTGTACTGCTACGCATATGCAAAAAAGGATTGCCCATACGTATGGAGCGGCCGCACATTGCACACCACCACCAGTAAGAACGGCGGGCACGTCGCCCCATGGCGCGCGTAGCTATGACAGGGACCGCGGCCGCGGATCCGGCGGCGGACGGGGCTGGCGCGCAAGCGCCGGCCACCGTCGGGCCGCCGGGGATGCGCCGCGGACGGCCCTGGTGCCTGGAATAGCAGCGATCGCGCGCACATGCAAGACTGCCTCATTGCCGCAAGGCTTGCAGGTGTGTCGCAGCTCAGGTATGAGGTAAAAAAAACCTCGGACATTTTACCAACTCCTTGGCGACGTGCGCGTCGCGTCGCCAAGGCTCTGCGACCTCGGTCGTACAATCGGCGACCTCGGTCGCACAACCGGCCGGATGCGCGGGTTTTCAGCCAGGTTCCCGCGCACCGGCCACAAACTCGACTCGCACAGCAAAAAAACCCGGTGCTCGCGCGCTGCTCCCACGCTTGACCACACACTCGCTGCACTGCTCAAAGCCAACCCTACCTCACTGGCCGCCTCCAACACTGTCCCGCGCGTCTCGCGCCCCAACTGACAACTCATCTCCCGCGCACCGGCCACGAACTCGACTCGCACAGCAAAAAAATCCGGTGCTCGCGCGCCCCGCTCCCACGCTTGACTACACACTCGCTGCACTGCTCAAAGCCAACCCTACCTCACTGGCCGCCTTCGACACTGTCCCGCGCGTCTCGCGCCCCAACTGACAACTCATCATTGTCCCTCGGACACCACTCTCCAGCCGCGCTACCTTCGCCCACCTACCGCTCTCGCATGACATCTCGACAATCCTCATATCTCCAGGCCCAAGACTCCTAACCACTGCCCCTGCTCGCCCAGGACCACGAAGCGCCGCCCGCGCCCATTGACCCCCCAATCAGCCTCGACAATCAGCCCTCTTGCTGTCCCTCAATCCCCACCCGCCAGATGTACTGCCCTCGCCCACCCAATACTCTCACCCTCCTGACCCGGACAGTCCAGGTACAGGAAAAGCGGGGAGCGGGGCCCGATCCAAGGAGCACCCCGTCGGCCCGGGAGGGCTGTGAATTTCGGCGCGAGCGGAAGGCTGCCTGCAGACGCTCAGCCCCCGGCTGAGCTGCCGAATCCTCCCGGCTAATCCCCTGACCTGCCGCCTGAAACGGGACGACATTACACCACCTCACACACACTCCCCCCTCAGGGCTAAGCAGTGCGCAAGTCCACCCGAACTCTAGGCGAGGCGTCGACCACTCCTTCGGAATAGCTCTGTCAGTGGCTGCACTAGACGCCCAGAGATGGCGCGCGGCGCGGGCGGATGACTGGAAGAGAAAATGCGGAGATGCTAGCTCGCAGGTAGATGTGCTCAGCCAAGGGTAGGGGATGAGGGGAATGTGTCAGTGTGGGGGGTGCACCAACCGCAGAGCGTTGTGTTTTGCCTTTAAGACTTGAACAGTTTTTTTCAGCTCAGGTATGAGGTCCCTGGCTACGGGACGGCGACCTTCGACCTGAAGCACGAGAAGGCCGCGGGCGACCGCGAGCCGGTGCAGGCGGCGGAGCGCTCGTTCGTCGAGCGCACCGCGCCGCGGAAGGAGGAGCTGACGGAGGAGCAGAAGGATGCTCGGGCCGCGGCTCGCAGGGCCAAAAAGGCCCGGCAGAAGGCGAACAAGGCGGAGAAGGCTGCGGCGGCGGCTGCGAGCGAGGCTGAGCGTGCGGACTACCCGCACGCGCAGCTGCGCGAGAACGTCGAGTTCGTCATGGACGGCCTGGAGGCTGCGACGCAGGCGGCGCGCAACCCAGCTGGGTCCAATATTCAGGTCGCCTACTCGCTGCCTCCCGAGGGGGGCAGCGGGTTCGGCGACCTGGTGTACGCCACGGTCCCTCTGGGCTCCGTGGCGACCAAGGTCGCCCGGGACTGGCTCGCCAACGAGCTCTACGAGCCGTCCCGGCGCGGCAAAATTGATGCGGCCTGCAGGGACCGAAAGGTCGCCGACCTGATCACGGCTGCCGGCGCCTCGGCGCCGGCCGACGCCGTGTTCGGCGGCAGGTTCGCGACGGGCGAGACGCCCCGCTCGACGACCTCCGCCTCCGAGGCGGACGAGGGCGACGGCGCCGGCGGCGATGGCGGGACCGGCTTCGACCTGTTCGGGCCGGACCCCACCCCCATGGAGGACCTTTGAGGCCCTCCCCAGTCTCACCCCACCTTACCTCTGCCCCCCCCTCCCCCCATCCCTCTGCCTCCCATAGGGCAGGATAGCACTAGCATATGCGCCTAGTGCGCACACTGGGCCCACATAGATGTGACCCCCCCTTTTAATTGGGGGTTCGGGATGTTAGTTTTTAAAAAAACACCAAAAAGGGGGTAGGGCCTTTTTTGGATTTTTGGGGAAATTTTTTTTTAGCAAACAAAGTGAGTTTTTGGGAGTTTTTGAAAGGCAAGAGTGAAATTATTTTTTTGGGGGATTTGTTTTTTTGGGAGGGAGGGGAAGGTTTTTTACCCAGGTGCACGGGGCAAGTGTTTGCATTTTGAAAGCGGGGGGGTTCCTTTTGGTTTCGGGGGGGGGAAATGGAAGGGTTGCCCCCCTTTTCCCCACAATTTTGGGGGGGGGGAAAAATTTATTTTTCTTTAGAAAACAGCAAATTTTTGGGTAACCAAATTGCCCTTTTAAGCCAATGGAAGACCCCCCCCCCCCCCCCAAGAAGAAGGGTTTTGTTGTTGGGGGGGTGGGCCCCCCCCCCCCCCCACCAGCAGCAGCGCTCTGCCTGTGGGGGGTCGGGACCCAGCTGCTCCAAGTGCCCTCTACGCTGGGGTGCCGGCGCCCTACTGGGCGCCCCCCGCTCCCTTCCCCTCAGAGCCCCCCATCCCACTAGCATCCCCCCGCGGTCCCTCGCGGCCGCGTGACGCCGCACCAATGGCGCGCTGTGCCTCGTCGCGAGCGCCGTCCAGAGCTGCACCGACAGTCGCTGCAGCGCAAACGGCATCCATTCGCGCGCCGACCACCACGTCTGAGTCGTACTGCCACCATGTGAGCTTCCGGCCCGAGGATTTTTGTGGACGCAGAATTTAGTTGTTTTTGGGCGCGGCGAGTTTATTTGTTTTGCGACCCCTCCCGACCCCTACCATCTTCCCGCGGGTCTCGGGGTGTGTGAGAGAGGGACGAAGCCTTGTCCAAGGGGCTGGTCAAAACCCCTCATATTTGAGACATCGTGTCCCATATGTACCCGCACAACGAGCCCGGGATAGAAAGAAAGTAAGGACTCGTTGATTGCTGTGTGATGTATATCGCGCGCCGTAGCTGCAAGGAAGTATGTGCTCTTTTGAGCCTATGCCGCGCCGCGCCCCACCGGCTCCGCCGCCTCAGGCAACTCGCGGCCGAATGGGCTCCCTCCCCCCCCGCCCGCGACCCGCAGGCAAGCGCGGAGCCGCAGCAGCTCGGCGTGCCAACTCCGCGCCGTGTGGGACACATCCGTCGCCGACGCGGCGGCGGCGGCGCGGAGCGCCGCGTAGGCGTCCGCGTCTGCGTGCAGCGCCGCCGCCTCCCGCAAGGAGAGGAGGAGGGGCATGTGCTGGCCGGCCTCGAAGAGCAGCCCGTTGCGCGCGGCGCCTGAGACAGAAAGACGCGCCCCGCGTCTGTCTCGTTTCGGGGCGTGTTTCTTTTCAAGCCCCGTGGCGCGCGGCGCCGGAGGGGCGGACTCGGTCTCGCATCCCTCCTAGTCCGCCAACCAAATGGCGACTCAGCTAACGGGTCCGGTTATGAGGAGGAGCTGACGCGGCCTCGCATCCCACCCGTCGCCGCGCAGACAAGAGGAGTGCCCGCCGCGAGAAACTCCTCCCCCACCTAACAGAAGGGGGGGGGGGTACGGGGAGATGTGGGGGAGATTGAGCTCCTCTCCCACACCCTCAAGACTAGCAGTGCCGGCCGCGGCCAATCCGCCGGCACACCTCGGCTCCCACCTCCCCATCCCTCCCCGTCTCTCCCCAGCCCTGAAGGCTCGTATAGCTCCCCACATCTCCCCACATCTCCCCACATCTCCCCACATCTCCCCACATCTCCCCGCATTTCCCCCACATCTCCCCGCATCTCCCCCACATCTCCCCGTATCTCCCCCACCAGCCCCGACGGCTCGCAGAGGGAAGGCATGACGCCAAAGTCGGCGGCGGCGGAGACAAACGCGCCTATGTATTAAGTATTAATTATTAATTATTAGTTAATAATTAAAGGAGACAAACCCGCCTAGTCGATCAAGTTGAGCTACGCCTCTTCTCTCCCCACATCTCTCCCCATCTCTCCTCATCTCTCCCCATCTCTCCCCACCTCTCCCCATCCCTCCCCATCCCTCCCCATCCCTCCCCACCCCTCCCCATCCCTCCCCATCCCTCCCCACCTCTCCCCATCCCTCCCCCACCTCTCCCCACCCCTCCCCACCCCTCTCCCCCACCTCTCCCCCATCTCTCCATAGGACACGCCGAGCTCAAAGTACGAGCTCGGGTCGGACGCCCAAAAGTTGGCCGGGAAGCTCGCCTGAAAACAAGACACCCGCTGCCGCCAGAACCGCCTCCGCCACACCGGAAAGACCGGGCCCCGACGCTCGCCCGCAGCTGCGCCATCTGCGCCGCACAGCGGCGGGCGTATGGGCTGGCCTGCTCATAGACGTGCGGATTCAGTGTCTCCGAGACCTCGCGAGCGGGCGGTTCTTCACAGCTGTGGGCAGTGTGGTTTTGGCCGGGGTGGGCAGTGTGGGTTTCACACCCGGGGCAGGTAGGGGATCGGGCAGGCCAGTTGTGCGGCAGTGTGCGGGCAGGGCAGTATCATACACACACTCAGCCCTCGAGCAGGAGGAGTGGTGAGTGGCGGCGGCGGCGGTAGCGCACCGGGTCAGCGCACCCACAAACCAGCACGTGCACCCTGCCCGCCGTCGCGCGGACCAGAGGCCCGACGCAGTCGAGAAGGAGGTGGACGCCCTTTTGCGGCGCAAGGCGGCCAAGGAAGACAAACATCGGCGGGTCCTCGCCTCCTCCTGCTCCTCCGCCTCCGCCTCCGCCTCCACCGCCGCCGCCGCCGCCGCTTCGGCGCCCGTGCGCCGCCGGCCACGCGGCCTGCAGCGTGGCACGCCAGTTAATTAGGCGAATTACCTAACTGCCAATTGATTAATTAGCTGCTAACTAATTAACTAGCTGCCTGCAGCGTGGCACGCCAGCCGTCGCCAAAGCACTGCCGGCGCAGCGACGCCTTGGCGGCGGCGTGGGCGAGAGATGGCCGAGAGATGGCCGAGAGATGGCCGAGAGATGGCCGAGATACCGACAGAGATCGACGCCTTGGCGGCGGCGTGGCCAGTCAAGCCGAGCAGTCCGTCGGCGTGGAGGGAGGCGCGGAGCTCCGCCAGGGGCAGGCCTAGCTTGCACGCGAAGGGCGCCGGGAACGCTCGCAGAAGCGGGGCGAGCGGGCCGCCGCCGCGCAGCAGCTGCTGCCGGTAGGACGCGGAGACAGTGGCCCAGCTGTCGGCCGTCAGCAGCGCCGCGCGCGTGAGCGAGGCGCGCCACCCTCTCCCCGCTCGCGGCGCGGCGCCTGAACAAGACATGCGAGGCGCGCGGAGCCCTTTTGCGGGCCCGTCTTTTCTTTGGGGGGGGGGGGGAGGCGAGCGAGCGCAGCGCCTGGCCGCTCCTCCGACAGAAGGGCGGGAGGGAGGCCCAGCAGCTGCGAGGGGGACAGCGCCGGCTCGGCCCCGGAGAAGGAACCTACCAACGACCCGTGCCGCGAGGAGCTCTTTTGGGGGGGGGGGCGGGTGCCGGCGCCGCCTCCAGCGAAGGCGCGCCTGCAGTGCGACATCGTGGACTTGTGCTTCTCCTTAAAAGGGGAGCTCCTCCCTGGACTCGTGCCTCTGCTTAGGGAGGTGCACAATCAAGGGCCCGGAGGAGGGCGCCGTCGTAGCCGGCTCTGAATGAACTCGCAATCAATCACTCCTAATGAATCTCTTCATTCAGGGCGCCGTCGTAGCCGGGCTCGAGATTGTGCACCAGGTGCACGAACGCGGTGCCCCGCCACCGCTCCGGCCAGCTCCGCCCGCCGCCCGGCCTGGCGGCGCGCCGCCAGGCTCCGTGCCTCGCGTACGGCGCCGCCAGCGCGGCCACCCAGTCGTTGGAGAGGAGGGCGGCGGGCGAGGCGGAGAGGCGCTCGAGCAGCAGCAGGGCGCCGCGCGAGAGGAGGCTCGCGGACAGCAGCGCGTCGGCCGGGGAGCGGTGGGCGTACGGGGCACGGAAGTGGACGTCGGACTGCAGCAGGTAGACGCGGACGCCGCCTGGGACTGGAGTGAGCCGGGGTCGGGGCAGGCGCGGTCGGTGGACGCACACTGCAGCGGGGAGACGCGGACGCCGCCTTCCGTCGCCCCGTGCAGCACCGAGAGCGGCGCGTCGCCTACCTCGTCGTCCGCTTGGGTTCGGGTGACGGGATCGGTAGGGTACCCCCTGCCCCCCCCCCCTCCGACGGCGGCTCGTCGCCTCTCGACGGCTCTAGCGGCACCGACAGGTCGAAGAGGTGGGCGGCGGCGTGCGGTGCGCCGCTGCTGCCGCCGCCGCGCGACGCGTAGTGGGGCAGCACAACGGAGACACGCAGCCCACGAGCGGCCAGGGCGGCGGCCAGGTGAGCGACCTGGTCACAGCCGCAGGTGTGAAGAGCCGCTCTTCACAGGCGCGCGGCCGGCGGCCAGGTGAGCGACCATCGCCCCCAGACCGCCCACCGAGCCCCAGCCAGCGAGCTCGGGCGACACAAACACAACCTCTGGCGGGGGGGGGGCAGGCGGCATGCTGGGGAGAAGCGGCGGCGGCGGCGGCGGCGAGCGTTGCACTGCCACTCCCCCCTCCGCTGCGCCACCCGCATTTGCTTTGCTCCTCGCTAGACGGCGCCGCCAAGCAGGCGTGTCCCGGAAACGACTCGGATGTGTCCCGGACATGTCCCGGAACCGTCTCGGACGTGTCCCGGGCATGTGCTTGCCTCCCGCGAAGCCGTCGCCGAGCAGAGAGAGCACGATCGCGGACACGCGTCCAACAGCCGCGACCGCCGCCTCCGCCCCCCGCACCTCCTCCTCCGCCACCGCCTCCTCCGCCACCTCCGCCTCCTCCTCCTCCTCCGCCTCCTCCGCCGCCTCCGCGCCACCCTTGCACTCTGGAGGGCTGCACCGCGCGACGTCTCCCGCCGGTGCCTCCGCCTCGGTCGCTCCAGTCACGTCCTCAACGCCCACACTGCCGCCTCCACTGCCGCCTCCACTGCCGCCTCCACTGCCGCCTCCACTGCCACCGCCGCCGCCGCCGCCCGCGCCGCCGCCGCCGCGGCCCTCCCAGCCTCCGTCGCCCTCCCAGCCGCAGCCGCCGCCGCCGCCGCCGCATGCAGCCTCGCCAGCAGGCAAGAGAGCCGACGGAGGGCGCGGCGAAGGGTGCCGGGAGCGGTCCTACCAAAGAGACTCACTCGTGCGACTCGGCGGCACTTCCCCCCTCACGGCCAGCACGTGCGCTCGGCCGGCAGAGTGTCCAGTTCTGGTGAGTCTGTGTGTGTCTGTGTGTGTCGCTCCAGCGCGACGTCGTCTTCTGTCCAGCGTCCACTCCCCATACCGCGTTGGTGTCCAGTCCGAGCCCGTGGCTGCTCTTCGCCTTCCCATCGATCTCTCCGCCTCAGACTGTGCCTCCGCCTCTCCAGCTAACTCGCGCACTCACTCACTACAACCAACCGGCAGAGTGGCGCGGCGGCGCTCTGGCCCCGTGGTGTCTGCGGCGGCGCCTGCGTCTGCGGCGGTGGCGTCTGCGGCGGCGGCGTCTGCGTCGGCGTCGGCGGCGGTGGCGGCGGCGGCG